TAGTTGCGTCGGTGCTGCACATGGGTAATGTGGGTTTTTCGGAGGAGGATGGAGTGGCAACTATTCTGAAACCTGTGTCTGTCGATGCCATCGCTAAAGTAATTATTAGCTTTTTACGTTTTGTTATAATTATTTATGTTTTATGTTTTGTTCATCATTATTTCATTATGTAATTATTTTTTTCTAATTATTTTATTATGCACATAAAATTTTTTAAATGTATTACTTGCAAATTGCTGGATGTCACATTTCTTAATTGAATAGCTGCTAGGATGTGACGTGAAGCGACTGGCAAAGGCATTTTCTCATCGTACCATAGATGCTCATGGTGACGTAGTGGTTTCACCCTTGAATAGGGAATTGGCTATTTATGCAAGAGACGCGCTAGCGAAGGCCGTGTATGACAGATTATTCACCTGGCTCGTGACTAGACTCAACAAATCTCTACAGCCCCAAACCAATCCTCGACGCAAAATGGTCATGGGTATTTTGGACATTTACGGCTTTGAAATCTTTCAGAAGAATAGGTATAACTGTCAAATACATTACTTACGGTCAAAGACATTATGAAAATATTACGAGTGTCATAAATAATAGTTTGAGAAAAATGCATTTTTTCTAAATGATTTCTAAAGTTTTTTTGTATAATTTTATTATTTTAAATATACTTTTTAACTTTATATTCTATATCTTAAATTAATGTTTTAGTTTGAGGAATAGGATTTTAACAAAAATTAATTATCACTAGTACATACGATATAAACATGGAGATCATGTTTAGTTAACGATAATTTTCTCTTTCGTTATTTTGGCAGTTTTGAACAGTTTTGCATTAATTTTTGCAATGAGAAATTGCAACAGCTGTTTATCCAACTGACATTGAAGTCAGAACAGGAAGAATATCTGCGCGAAGGGATAACCTGGGAGAACATAGATTATTTTAATAACAAAATCATTTGCGACCTGATTGAAGAGAAGTATAAAGGTTGAATTTTTATAAAATTCTAATCCACATTCGCAATTACATATACATTATTAATTAAATATTTAATCTGGCAGGAATAATATCGTTAATGGACGAAGAGTGTTTGCGACCTGGAGACACAACGGACATGAGCTTCTTGGAGAAATTGAACGTAAATCTGAACAACCATCCTCACTACATCAGCCATCAGAAAGCTGACATACAAACGCAAAAGATTATGGGACGAGACGTAAGAATTTTATAAAATATTAAATCATGAATAGTAATATCTAATATCTCGAAATATTGTAGAAAGAAATTGTAGAATTAAATTATTTATTTGATTATTTTATTTTTGTTAAATTAATTTAATTTATTCAATTATAAATATGTCTCTTAACTAACTTGCATTATATTTATTATAGTAATTATTACGATAATTATTTGTGAAACACGAAATTAAGAATATAAAAATAAGAATAAGAAAAGAAATTGAGAATATAAGAAATATTGACATTTTAGGAATTCAGATTAGTGCATTATGCTGGCGATGTTACGTACAATGTTCGCGGATTTCTCGAGAAAAACAATGATTTACTATTTCGAGATTTACGTGAAGTTATGTCGCATACTACGAATTCCATTACAAAGGTAAACATTTAATTTTTTTATAGGAAAGAAAATAAAAAAGAATCTATTTGTAAACTTTAAAGATGAGTAACATTGTTTAAATTGTTCTCAAGTGTCAAAAATTAATCTTTGCAATTTCTCTTATAGACTGTATTTGATGTGAAAGATTTAACCAGTAAGAAACGTCCAGAGACCGCCATAACTCAATTTAAAAACAGTTTAAATAATCTGGTTGAGATTCTCATGGGTAAAGAACCATCTTACATTCGTTGCATCAAACCTAACGATTTTAAAATGGCCCGTAAGTAGACTTGATATAAGATAAAATTGAAATAAAGCATCAGTAACGATATGGAGTATTTACACAATTCAATAAATATGTATAAAAAAAATTAAAATAAATTATTTAATTTCTTTTATTTGTTTAATTTGTCTAATAGAAAGAAAAGAGATATAAAAAGATTTTTTTTTAATTTGAGATGAAATCCATTGAACTTTTGCTTTCAGATGAATTCAACAAAAAGATCGTGTTACACCAAGTGAAGTATTTGGGTCTGATGGAGAATCTGCGGGTAAGACGTGCCGGTTTTGCATATCGAAGACCGTACGAGCAATTCTTGCAGCGTTACAAATGCCTCTGTTCGGAAACTTGGCCGAATTACTATGGCCCGGCAAAGGAAGGCGTACAAACGCTCGTGTGTCATCTCGGCTACGAGCGTGATGAGTACAGGATGGGAAAGTAAGACCGCTCAATTATTACGCTTTAAGCATGCTATACATTATAATTCATGTGTACATTAATTATTAAATTCTTAAAATTCATTACAGCACAAAGTTATTCATCCGTTTTCCTAAAACGTTATTCGATACGGAGGATGCATTTCAAATGAAGAAACATGAAATAGCCGCCATTATCCAGAGCAAATGGAAGGCTATATTAATGAGGAGGAAATATTTAGAGATACGAGAAGCAGCGATCGTGTTCCAGAAAAACATTCGCAGATGGCTCGCGAAACGCAAAGCCAAAAAACGGCAACAAGCGGTTATCACCATTCGCAGGTTTCTTCTTTAGTCCTATTTTTTTTTTTCTATAATAAAAACATGTTTATACATTTGTTCTATATTTTATCATATATATTAAAAAGTTTTATTTATATATACTGTGCTAAATTGATACAGATTTATTGAAGGCTTCATCACGCGAGATGGACCGCCTACGGAAATTAACAAGGCATTTATTGAATTGGCAAAATCGCAATGGCTCATTAGACTTTCGAAGACATTGCCACCGGGTATCTTAAATAAATATTGGCCGCCATGCCCATATTCTTGTCAAGAGGTATATAATAAGAATAAGGAATTTAGCTATCTGTATATAAATTCTCTATCTATATAAAAGTTCTCAGCGAAATAGAAAATATGTCTGTATAATTATACAATTAAATTAATGTGATACGATATGACTAATAACATTCACATGATATAGGCATCAGAGCATTTGCATGTAATGCACAGGCGATGGAAAGCTCGTTGTTATCGAATGACACTAAATAAGGAAGATAAGGAACACTTTGAGTTAAAGATCCTCGCGGAGTCTCTATTCAAAAATAAAAAGAAATCTTATGCGAAGAGTGTAGGTCCGAGATTTGTAACCGATCGTCTTGGTGAGGAGTACAAGGCACTACGACAGAGCTTCAACATTTTAACTTCCGGAGAAAACATAAAGGTAAAAATAAATCACTGAAAAAATATAGTAACGCTTTTTCTTCTTTTATTATATATATTTACAATGAATTCGATAAAATAGAAATATAAATTAAAATTCATATTTTTAGTATGCTACTCCAGTCATTAAATACGATCGGCACGGATATAAACCACGCGAGAGAGTACTTATTTTAACTGATAATGCCGTATACATTCTCGATACACTTAAGACCTTCAAACTCAAGCATCGCCTTCCTTACAAGGCTATCGAGGAGTTGGTTGTTACTGGAGAATCGGATAATTTACTCATCGTTAGAATACCACCTGAATTGAAAAAGGATAAGGTTTTTACAACTTGAATTTCAAATCTTAATATTTTTAATTCTAAATAAGGCAAATTATTTCAAGTTAATAATAAAATAATATAAATATGTAAGCAGTAATAAATATTTTAATTAATCAATTATTTAATAAGAAAATAATTTAATATTTAGCAATTATAACTGAAATGAGCTAAATTAAATATAAAGAGATAATTTAATTAAGGGAGTTAGTAATTGGGGATTTATTAAAATTAATAAAAAGATAATAAATATAATAGATACTTTCACTACGCACTACTGTTTACAGGGTGACTTGATTTTAGAAGTTCCGCATTTAATAGAAGCATTGACGAAAGCGATTGATATTACTAACAATCCGAACATTGTTAAGATCGTCAATACCGAATCGTAAGTTCTTCAGTTTTTTTATGTATTATATTTATTCCTTTATATTTAGTAATAAATTTGATTACGATTTAATTCAACTAATCAATTTATTGTTTGCTACTTTTGTATTAATTCTACTAATATTTGTAATATCATGTTCCAGTGTGTCTCACAAACTAGTCAGTGGTAAGGAGGGAGTCATTGAAGTTAGGACTGGTACCACTCCCGCAATTAGTAAAAATCGACAGAGCGGACATTTATTAGTAGTAAGAAATTCAAAATAATCATTTTAATCTTTTCGAGTAAACGTCTTTCTTTTGTACTTGTTTTAAACTGCTAAATTTCAGGTTGCTTCTCCGTAAAATTATTCCAAACAGGAGAATTTCTTGAGAACTGAAAGAACTGGTGCTACGATAAGGAACGATGAGGTGCTACATGAAGCAACCTTAACATAATGTGATCTAGGGAATACACAACGAAATATAACGAGAAGAGATAATATATAACACTTAATACATCTTTAAATTGTTCCGGCAATTTTGGACGGAAGAGTGATAAAATGACAATATATAGGTCTTTCCTACGTACAAATTACGTCAAATTCTTGTTTCAAATATGAAAGGCGCAGAGTGCCATAGGGGCCTCCTGTATAATATTTCCTTGTAAATTAGGTAATATTATTAAACATATTTATTTTGATAGAAATAAAGATAAAACCGATAGGATAGGCGAATTTACTTGTCAGTAATTTATAAATGTTATTTAAATATAAGTTAAATTTCAGTTATGTGAGTGCAATAAACAGAAAAAAATTCACATCTCACTCAATCGTATTCCTTTTCAATAGATAATCTCAAATCGAACAATATTGCTTAATTAAAAAAAAAA